ATAAAAATAAATTGAATTGAACTGAATTTTGGGATGGAATGTGGAGATGAAAGAACTCTTTGGACATGAGTTCTTGATTTTTTTGATCCAGTTTTGGGACAATCCTCAGCCGGAGGAATGCAGAAACAGGCCAGAAACAAAGGCTAGTCTCATGGTTTCTGGTGGTACTGCATCATGGTTCTCCAAAAAGTGTGTATAGCAAAAGACAACAACAAAGGGCAATGCACTTGCAGACACCTGAAACTCAACAAGTAATTAGAAACTAGGTAGGGGATTCAGGCTTCATAAGGGCAAAGTTTGTGTCGATCAATCTCATTCGTGCACCCAAAGAGGCTCATCTCGCAGAAGTGTCAGACTGCTGTCCTTTTTACGAAATTCAATCTTATTAGTTTTAGGGTGTAATAACCGTCGCTCTATCAGATAATGCGGCTTGTAGAGCCAGTACTTCTGCCGACCAATAATACAGATCAGATCTAATTATGCTGTGAAGCCCAAAAGATCAGACTGACACTCCAAAGCTTCCATTCTTCTGGGGAATACTGAGAGTGCCTGTGGACAAATACATCTGTCATAAAAAAGTCAATATTTGTTATCAACTGGACAACTCTGAAAACTATAAAACAGTTATTTTATAAACAGTTAGAATTTTCTAAGGTGAATGAGGACTTGTGAGCTCTCCATTCTGGTACCTCTATCCTGGTTACATTAGCGGCTTATTTTTTCCGGCGGAAACATTCTTCACAAACAGCTGATAAAGCAAACAATGAGGCAGGACTGCCAAATGAAGCTAATTAAGAAGCAGGGAGAAGAACCCTACCAACAGTCATTGGCACTACAAGAACCCTGACCCCGATTGGACCAAACTGCAACAGGAACTTCTGGGTGACCACATTTCCCGCATCAAGTAATTTTAATTTGCTACAGATCAGAGAGTACAGGGAGTTAATGGAACACAAAGTAACTAATAAAATAAAAAAATATGTAGTAATACGGCCAGCTGACCACTTATATGAAGGAGATCCTCTGGTGGCCATTTTACGAGCTCGCCTACCTCCCTCTGCGGGGGCAGGAATGCAGGCCAGTCATGACCTGCCTCAGGTGCCAGTGCTGGTTTTGCACCTGAGAGGCCTGCTGCCCTCACCCCCCCCCCCCCGCAGGAAGAACGTGAAGACATAATTCATCCGTGACCCCCTTTCACTGCAGACGTTCCTTCTAATCATGCATCTGGAAACCTGGAAGCTTTTGGGATTGGCAGAGGGCTCCGGCTGCCCGGTCGCAGCTCAGAGCCTGCAATAAAAACTACCCCTCCATTACAGCATCTGTCATCGAGTGCAGGCGAAAGCCCCCCCCCCCCCCCCAACAGCACCCTTCGCCCGCTCACCAAGCTACACGAAAGAACATTCGTCACGGGGACTTAATTTGACCCCGCACAGTTTTATCTTTGCCAGCGGAACTACCTGCCTGACCTTGGGGGTCACAGTTGCCTTCGAGGGAAAAACCACACCCGTTCTGAAAATTAATCCTTGCCCCTATGGCATCGTGCTGCTGTCCTGTCCATGGTGCAACCACCAGCTTTCCCTCCCCTCATTAATCATTCCTAAGCTCAAGCCTCCCTTACCCACATTTATTTTAAAGGCAAACAACCTCACTGAATGACAGCAGTAGAATTTCTCCTGCCCATAGGTCTGCTTGATCGGCCTGTCTTTACTGGTACCTGCTGGTGAGATGAACAACGGCCTTATGGAATACTTCTGAGCAGGTGCAACATGGAAGTCGTTCCGAAATCTCAGCGATTAGCATAAATGCTATATGTGGTGCAATCAGAGAACATAGTCATTTAGCGCTTAGCATCGTTCAGTGAATGTGTCTATAGGGGGCAGTGTCGAGGCTAAAGTAAGCGCCGTGTAGCAGCCTATCTGACCGCTTCGCCCCTCCGCTACCCCCCGCCACACACCCCCCCACCGAGAGCCCTTTCAACCTGAACTCTGACCCCTAGAGCTCTCTCCAGCGTCAGCCGAAAAAAACAGGCCCCAATGCTAACAAGACACTCGATCCTGAGAGGGTGCCCCCCCACAGTCACTCAGCCACTACCCAGGAGGACTGTGCGCGACGTTGCCATGGCGACAAGCCCCGGTCATGAGAAAGGAGGAAGATGGGTGAGGCCTCTGGGCCGTAGAAGATGTCAGGTGGCAAATAGAGACCTGGTTCAAGCAGACCAGGGGGGAAAAGTTCTGCAATTAATGAATTTACAGTCTCGGGTCAGGCTGTTAATGTTGTATGAGCATCCTGAGGATCCGCTGGACCGTCCCCCGTCGATGCGGCATGGATCTCGGAAAAAAAGAAACCGATCTCTCGAATAAAACCTCCATTTAAAAGGGCCGCGAGCAGGATTCGCTCCGTATTCAAGTTTAATGGCGCCGTAAATCAGCGGTAAATTTATGGAGTACTTGACGGAGAGCAGAGTTTTGGATATGACTGATTCTAAGGACACATCCACCGTTCCGTGCGGCGTGCGGGGGAGGGAGAGGAATCTAATGCGAGGGGGAAATCACAACCCGGCCAGCTTATAAATCCGGCAGTGTAAGACGATGAGGTAATTACACAGACTGGAAAAAGCTATTTATGGCGTATTATTTTAGGGAACGCGTTCACCGCCTTGTTTATATTTGCCCCTGATGTAGCAGCATCAGTGACAGTGCTGATGATTATAGCTTCCTGTGCCCATCTGACGGGCTGATGGCGGCCACACCAAGCATCTGTTTCGGGGGGAGATCTTATTTATTTTAACAAACGCTTTTACCTAAAATGGGGTCGGCATGTCCCTGAAGCAATTTAAGGTTAAGGGCTTTGATATCAGTGTCGACCATGGGACTTAATCAGGCAACCTTCTGATCACTGGTGCAGCGTCCTAGCCCACTGAGCCGCACGTCGCCCCCTGTGGGACGCGCCAGAGCTTTGCACATTATCCTCTAAGGCCCGGCTGTGTCCTGTCCGCTCGTTGGGTAAAACCCAGAGAAATGCTGCGTAAGGCTGTTTTTTGGTCGCTGTTTGATAAATAGCTGGTCACGTCCTAGAGAGGATGGACAGCAGGCAGTTTATTAAGCCTGTGAGCGGAGGGTAGTGAAATGACCACAGCGAGAGGATGCTGGACAGCCTGACAAGGCCCCCACACCTCGTCGTCTCCCACCACCTCTGCCCACCCCCATACCCGTGATCAACATCTTCCTTGTTGACGTCTGAACCTGACGCAGGAAGGATGTATACTGCATAAACGCAGGAAGCAAGACGGGACAACATTTTCCACCGTTAGAATTTACCAGAACAAGACCGGCTGCAGCATTTAAGCCGCTATGCTAATTTGCAGCTGGAAATGTGGAAGGAAGACCGCAATCACCTGAAACAGGTTTAATCTGTTCTTTTAGAGGCGAAAACACAATGTACAGACAACCTCAAGACGTCCAAGAGTAGTCACGCGGGGGCGGGGGTGGGGGGAGCTCGATCGCTTCCAAAGTTTGCCTCAGAATTTGTACAAGCAGCAAGACATTACTGCTTGCCCTTTGTTTTCATTCTTTCTTTTGCATTAAAGGAGTTAAAAGCAGCCAATGAGGTACACGGATGTTGCAAATCCCAAGTCGCCAGTAGGGGGTGCTGTGTCTGAGCTAGCGAGTGGGGCCTTGGAGCAAGGGGCCTCACTGTTTAAACAGCTCCAAGTTTGCCGACGTGTCTGCGAACCAGAGACGGCTCGGCCACAGTATTTACACACATACGTGCGACATTTCCCCCCACCCCACCCCCGGGCTGAAAAATACGGCACTAAGGCCCGGGAGGGGATGGAACTCTCCGTTTGTGACGCCGCAGTGTTGTCATGGCGACAAATGCAAACGAATTGGGGGATATGCAAGGAAAGGGTTACGAGCCATCCAACCCGACCCCGTCCGAAGGACCCAGGATCACCCACACCAGGGTCTGGCTCTTTACCCTGGGGGTTAAAACAACCCATAAAAGGATTCGGCTGGTAAAATCTGTAGAATCCAAGGACATGACGAAGAAGCCAGGTCTGTTCATTCAGCAGGGGCACAAAACGATCCGACTGTAGACACAAGCCATAAAGCACCAAGCTGGAACATAAACAGTCCCCGGGGACATGATTAATCTGAAACAGAAAGCCCATTCACCCGGGCGGCGTGCAGCCCCCAGCAGGACCGGCTCCCCCGGGCCGGGGCGCCTTCAGCGGGCCGCGCTGCCGTCCGTGCCGCCGCATTTCAATGATTTTATTTTCTGCTAGGTCAACCTGGGGGTCGAGCCGTTGAACGCCGTGTTTATTTGGACAAGGCCAGAGTCCCCTCCCCCCCCCACCGTGAATTGAGGTTGGCTGGGGTAAGATGGGACAGAACTGAGCCACCGATGGAGATTGGGGTTGATGACCCGATCGCCCACGTGCTGCACTGGTCGGATGAGCCGGTGTCTCCAGAGCAGTGAATGATACCAGGACTCTCGGTGCCCAAGTACGAATAAAGAGGTTCAGACGTGAAATGGGGGCCACTTTCGCATGTGTTTCAAATGATTTTTTTCTCATTCATTCATTTGTTTGTTCAATTGTTCGTTCGTGAATTCGTTCATTCGTTCCCCATTCCCAAGTGTCCTATGAAAGGTTGTGGGGACCCAGAACTTATCCCAAAAACAAGGAACGGAAGGCTGGGAATAACCCAGGACAAGGTGTCGACCTTTTGTAGGATTTTTTGGAAAAATATGAAATATGAAAAAAATCACATAACTCTTTTGTGATATTTTGCCTCATGCCACATAATGTTAAGGAAAACATGATATATGGTGTTATTTTGAAATTGTACATTTTAACTTTTAATATTTTAAATGCAAAATGTGAAGCCACTATGTCAGAGAGGTACCCCAGCAATGTACTGATCTGGGCGACACTGTGCTTACACACACATGCAGGCACAGACAAACGTAACGCGCCCCCCCGACACGCGCGTTCTCACCTTTGCAGGTTTTGCCGTCAGGCTGCAAGGTAAAGCCCACGGGACAGCTGCAGCGCACTCCGGTGGCTGTGTCCTTGCATGTCCTGTCGCACCCGCCATTGTTCACTGCACAGGTTTCTGGGTAAAACACAGAAAACAGGACGAGGGAGGAGGGGAAGCGACAGATTATGAGTTACTAGAATTCTAAGCCGGATAAGGATCATGTACATCTGAGGATGACAACGTCCCAAACTGGAGAAAGAATTCCACACAAACAACATGAATTATGAAAAGGCTATATAGAGATTACATGTACATGTACATATATAGCTCTTTTCAAATTCCCAGTGCTGCTGTTTCTCAGCCACAATGCTTGCCGTTACATTTTCTGTTCTTAATCATTTCCACTAGGGACCGATAAAGGCAAAGGCTATGAACTGGCAGGTTCTTGGTTGGTCAGCCGTGACCAGCACCAGAGAACCAGAGAACCACCGTTCTGCCATCGCACACCAAAGAAACTGGCATCGAGTTGCGTTTTGCTGACAAAGGGGAGAGCTTAGTATGTTAGTCAGGTGACCCGAGTCTCTCAAAAAGGTCGAATAAAAGTATGACGCTCGACCAAAAACAATACATGAGAGTTGGGTTTCATTTCCTGACAGGCCATCATGCTTCCAGCTTTTCCAGGTTCCCTTCCAGCCGTTAACGACCGCTGAGTATCGAGAGAGGAGGGATATTTTGTTAAATTTGTGAAATGTTTTTATTCCAATCAAGTGTTTAAGGGCGAGATGAAAACCTGCATAAACAGCAGTCAGAGCAGAGGCAGAACCGCAGAACTGCAACTAGAAAAGTAAAATCCCACACAGGCATAAATACCCCGGAGACCTTTATGGAAAAGGAGACTTAGAATCCCTTCATATCGCATCCAAAATCATGACGGGGAAATTAACAGTGAACGGAGCCGTGTGCTTTCCGTTACCGCCTCCTTCTCCTGGACAGGCCGTCTGTCACGGCCAGAGCCCTCATCTCAACGTGGTCCAGCCGCAGCAACAGTGTTAATTTTGTCAATGAAAATTTTGTCGATTAGTGTTTGTTGATGATCTTTTATTTCACGACTAAATTGTAACGACAATGTAAATGAAAGATGTTCGACAACGAAAATTATGGTGAAATCTCTGTTCATTATGCTCTGACGAGTAAAGATGAGACAAAATTGCTGGCTCCGTTTCGGCAGACAATCTAGATCGCAGCAGACATCTCCAAGCACTGGTTGTTATTCTTTTAATTCAGTCATTTACATACACATAAATCCGAAAGTGTGCGTACCTGTACCAGTTCTCACTGTCTCCACGCGTCTCTCATTGGATGATTTGTTTTTCCCGCTTGGTGCATGTCTGTACAAATGGCGGCTTCCACTAATGCGAAGTTCACACTACATGGTTTTAGCCCCGATTTTTCGCTCGCCGACAGTTTTGAGAAATCGCCGACAAAACCCTCAGATCTGAGGCAAATCGGTGTGCGATCAGCCCTGGCAAAATGGCACTCGATCACTCTGTGTGGACTGTTCACAACGTGACCCGACGAAGTCGGCAAAGCATCGCAGACACAAAAAAATACTGTTGTTTCAGCAAATTTATGTCATTCTGTACTTTCTGCTTTTGAAGTATGGTTATTGTAAGACAGGTTCTCCACAGTTAAATGGGTGTTTGATAGGTGTTTTGATGCCCTGATAGGTTTGTGATATTGAATTTTTGCTATCTGTAAAAAATTTACTAAAATTAGACTGAAATTAAATCTGAGTTCCACTTACTAATTCTTAACTAAAGAAAAAACAATAAGACTAAAATGTGATTTTAATCCAACTACAATTTTCAGTAAGTGACTAAGAATAAAACTAAATACAAGATTCTCATCAAAATGAACACTGGCATGGCAGAGGATGGGGCACTTGTAATTACTTTTTGACTTGCATCTAATTTTTATTATGTAATATTTCTTTGTTTCATATTTTTTGCTGCTGCTACATAGGCAAATTTCTTTGGTATCAATAAGTCAACCAAAGATTGAAATCAATCAATCAGTCCTTTTACTTGTGTATCTCTACCTGTCTGTCTGTCTATAAAGCTATCTATGCGTCTGTCTCCACCCATGTCTGTATCTGTCTATTTCTACCTATCTGTCTATAAAGCTATGTAAGAGTGATGGCAAATTAAACATTGTGAACCATTTGCTGTATTTTTTTACCCCACTAGATGGTGCTCTTGGTTTACTTTGGGACATGCTTTGAGCCCTTTTATGAACGGAGAGCACCATCTGGTGGGGTCAGAAAATACAGCAAATGGTTCATGAAGCTTCATTTGTCCATCACTACTATGTACCTCTCTCTACCCATCCATCCATCCATCCATCCATCCAATCTATCCCTACCTATCTCTACTTGTTTGTCTGTACATGTCTGTCTAGCTATGTATCTATCACTACCCATCTTTTTATCTATCCATTTCTACCGGTGTGTCTGTCTAGCTCAGCACAATGTAGAAGGGGCTGCGGTTTACATTAAGTGTGATACTTTCTGTTCATCATGCTGTGTATGGTGTGAAAAAGCAGCACCAGAACCAAAGGAGCTGCTCGAGCCCTGTTTAACAGTGCTGGCTGCCGTGGGATCCAGGGACTGAGCCCAGAACACCTGGCACGTGTCTGACACCGCAGTAGTGCTCCCCAGCTCCCCCTTCAGCTTAGCGGCTCCTCACCCGCTGTCCGGCTGCCTTGTTGACTTTGAACGTGCGTCCCTGCTCCTTTTCTCCTCTTCTGAACAGTATCAGCTCTCGGAGTTTTACTCCGGGGCAAACGTCACGCCAGAGGCTCTGAAGTATCCGTTCCATAAGACATTTCTTTCCATTGAACGCTCAATAAATTATGCCCGTCAACAACACGTCAAGTTGGGAAGTTAAACGTCTTCGACCTCTCTCGCACATCTAGGAGACTGCGGAATTCATCACGAGTACAGCATGCAGTCAAGCTCCGACCCCATCAACCCTGCACATTCAGCTCTTAGTGAATGAAAGTCAAAGAGCAAACTTCCAAAGTCTTCTCAGTCTTTTGAGAAGATTCCTGTGGACTTAGCAAGTTTTGGAAACTCACCGAAAGTTCTTTGTTGGATTACATGAGAAGTGACTGAGTTTTGGTTCCCGATACCATAACATACGATGCCTGACTTTAGGTCACTGGCGGTCTCATCTCAAAAACAACAAAAGCGAATGGACTGAGTGAATTTTGGAAATTTTGCTCTTCAATTATTAAACATATTATTTGAATAAATTCTATGTCCTGTGCTCTGAGATTTCCTTTACAACATGGTGGATGGAACATTTAATCGATCCATCTACTATGACCTCTTATCCAGTACAGATGTGATGTGAGCCTGGAGACTTTTCCAGAAGCAATGGGCAGAGGATGCCCTGGATGGGGGGCAGGGGGAGGTTTCACACTCACAGCCTTCGACGGTGTGAAGCCGCACTGTTACCCACCTTGTTGCTACAACCTTTCAGCAGGATACCAATTGTTGATGACAAAGTTCACCTTTCTCACCTAGTTCCTGGACTCTTCTAGGCCTGATCTCCAAACATCCAACAGTTACTGATCTACCCGCAATCTACAATGATCTTACACAACCTACACTCCCCTGTAGGAACACAGGATGTAAAACTCGTCCTTCGAGTCCTTTTGAGGGCTACACAATGATAAATGTCCTGGTCCGCTCAGTAAATTATGGGCCGGAACAGAAAGTGAGCTGACACAACCATCAGCGCCGCCATGTTTCATATAAGGATGTGAGAGTGGACGGGACAGAGAGAATGACACTCCGTCTTACCAACAACAAACCGGATTCCAGCTGGAGGGCATTTCAAAGCCAGTCTCAGTCGGCCAGTAGAGTCGTTTCTGAGCCTTAATTACTGCAAAATGATTTATAACGAAGGTAAAAGAGCCTGTCATTAGGATACTGGGCCCTGAGACTTTTAGCAGAAGCTTTTACCAGCCGGTTCGACACCCCCAGGCAGTGTGGTGCACAGGAATGCTGCAACCGCTAGCTGATGTGCCGGACATGTTCCTTCATTCACCGCGCATATATCTTCCTGCCATACCTCCTCTAGCACAGTTCGGTGGCTCTCTGGTGCACAAATAGTTTTCATGCACCTCAGATCTCTGGGGCAATATGGCCCTGTTCAGCACACTCTCCCTCGTAGCGGTGATTCTGAATTAGCTTCCGCGTGCAGCACGTTTACCCTCTGCACACACCTGCACATATACTTTGCATTGATGTTCACCTTACAATCTCCTGCCAGACCTACAACAAGATAAAACACAAGCGAGCATATGGAGGTCACAAGGTTGCAGTGCGGCATTTTTAATACATGGGTGTTATGTAGGGTGACCAGATAATCCATGTCAGGGAGGACACTTTGAGCTACTTCAGGTTTTACAAACTACTTTCAAATTGAAAGGCTCCTGTGCTCGGCTAATTAGTTCAGCTCTTCTTGTGCTTTGACTGGTTTATTTCCTTGACTGAAAGACTCATCCAGCTGTTTCACATTAACATTAGTGACACATGCATGATTATAGGAGACTGACCAATCAGCACACAGCAAGAACTCAGTGCTCAAGTGAAATCCAGGTCCGTTTAATTGAAATGGTAATTTACAATTCCTGTCCTAGCTCAGAGTGTCCTCCCTGACATGGATTATCTGGTCACCCTAGTGTTATGTCACCCCCACTTTCGAAAGATCCGGGTGCAGCCAAACCCGGTAATGGGGATGCAACCTTATTTGCAAAATGTAACAACCTCAACAGTGAGGGGTGCAATGCAATATGCAATCAAGTTAAGAATGTCTCTGCAAAACAGCCATGACTCACGCAGCCATAGCTGATGTCTCGTGCAGGAGCAAGGGGTGAATGACCTCATTTCGGAAGGCCATGCTTTCAGGTAACTTCACAGGTCCCCGACTCTCCTTCTGCATGAAATATCATCTTACTTTGCAAAAAAAAATACAGCACTTAATTTTAAATGCAGTTGTAAAAGGACTGGCGTACCTCAAGGTATCCAGCTAGATAATTAATTACTACATCTGCGCCTAGGAATACCATTTATCTTAAATTCTTAAGAAGGGGTCAATACATCAAGACTAGTTTTCAAGCCATCATCATGCGTGCCAACTCATGCAGGGAAGCTTGTCAGCTTGCCTCACTCAGCGATCGCCGGACTGAAAACAACACTCTCCCTCGACAGGCTCTAAGGTAGAACTCGGGGCAGGACAAGACGACTTGTTTGAAAGAAGACCGTCAACAGAGTCAAGGGCAGCACATGAATTGAAAAGAAAAGAAAGTGCTAGTGAGCCCTTATGTGTCAAAAAGGCAATTTTTCCAGACACAAAAACAGCACTAATAAACCAAGAACTTTAAACTATCATTTTTGAGCCAAGACATTGTTCTAGTACTAAGAGAAACACCTATAATCGATGTTAACGATCGCAGTTTCTGGAGAGAAACATTCAAAGCTAAAAGGTCTCATTTAATACTGCCATCGGGGGTTTGTGCTCAGCTTTTCACAAGCAGTAGGGGGCTGCCATTTGTAGACATACTAAAGTCTACTGCTCCCCCTCTACCACAAATACACCCCAAGGTTTAATTCTTTAGTGCAAAATACTGGGGGGGGGAGCTTCCCCAAAGAAGCCCTTCCAGAACAAATATCAGGAGACACATTTAGACAGAAACACTCTGTGTAAAATGTAACGTGGTACTGCGCGCCAGCGGAGAATCCATTCCACACACCAGAGATAGCGCAAGCATTCTGATGGTAGTTATGCATTAACACACAATGACCCTTATGAAACTGCAGCCTCGACTTACTTTGGAAACTTCTGGAATATATCACAAATATATTTATTTATTTATTTTAGGGGAGGGATTGAGGGCATAATAGTAGAATAAATCGTGCCTAGATTCCTCAATGGTGTCATAAACTCTAACCTCTGGCAATTAAAGTAATTTTCTAATTAAATAAAATCATATGACAAAGCGAAATAAAACAGCACCACTGCCTGATGACGGAAAGATGGACACGGAATGTTAGATGCAAAATTTTATGGGTTCCTCCATGTACTCACAGTGCAGGATATTAAGAATATGTGTGAGGGACAGATCATATTGTCTAGATCAGTTATGCTCTCTTAGAATTTAGCTTACTGACAGCCAATCACGGCCGCTGCCTGTTTTGATGGGCCAATAAGCAAAGAGCCATGAAGAGGGGCAGTCCCTGTGACTTGCTAAGGATGGTTAGGGTTATCATGGGGAAGAACTGGTGCCAGTATCCACCCAGAGGCAAGCCAGGCTCCGTTTCGCTCCTTTACGCGTCTCGGATATCTAGAAGCAGGCTAACCGGAACATCATCTGGCTGGTTCGTGGGCTCGCAGAAATAACCAGAATTACCAACACACTAAATTCAACATCTAACAAAAAACTGACAGCAGCCTCGGAATAAAATGTTTTTTTTTCTTTCAGGCTTTTATCTGCCAGCTTATTATTCTCGTGCACTGCTGTTACTAGCAATCCAAGCAAACGCATGCAATTTCTGCCAAATAAATGGAGGGGGGCGGGGGAACCCTCTTCTTTACATGCCACAAAAGTATGAGGCAGGCATGGTGTTATCCTGGATGAACCCCCCTACTGTATTACTGCCTTATCTTATCAGGATTATGACATTCCTCACATTTTCCATTCTCACTGCTGCCTGTGTGTGTTTTTTTTAATGCAGCTACATTGCAGGTTTTCCCTTTTTTTAACTAGTTCAGCGACCACTTTCCTCATGTTTAGGTGTCTGACCAATCCAGTTCATTCCAAATTGTTTAGGACCCCTGAATCGTGCTAAAGCCCCCCCCCCCCCTTCCAGATATGGCGCCCCTGCCCCACCCCAATGATGTATGTCATTTACGTCACACTGGGTGCTCTGGGATGACGGGATCTCGCCTCCTGTGCCTTTAGTTCCATCTGAGGTTGTTTTGATCCGGTCTACCGTTGTGCCGCAGTCTTTATTATGACATCACAGGACAAACACGGAGACTCCAGAAAACCTCGCACACAAACAATGTTACAGGAGGCCAGCAGCGGCCTTGCCTTTGGCTCAAGGTGACCTAAAACGACACTCCCGGGACTCACTGCCTGCTCCTACAGATTGCGAGACTCCACTTGTAGGGCAAAGAAAGTCAGATAGATGATTAATGCAGCCAAATATGATGAAGCAGTATGAGCAACGTGACAAACTGGCAGAAAATGTGCTTCTTTGGCTCAAGGAGAAAAATTCAGTGGAAGTCATCGCTCCGTCACACGACGAGGTCCTTAGGCCACAAATTCGCAATATCACAAATGAGGTCATTTTCCTTTGCTCAGAGTAAGTGCATCTCCCTGGGTCACTGGACCCTTGAATCCAAGGGGGAGGGGGGGTGGGGGGCACAATTCTTATCTGCACAAACTGCTTTGGGAATCTTGCGATTTATATCTTTGGTGTGGCTGATTGTTAGAAGAAACCACTAATCATTATAACAAAGTAGTATTATTAAAAAAAGAAACAAATGAATAAGGTGAGTCAGAGGATTCGAGCGGCGTTTGAATACAAGCCTTCTCCTGTCTTTATTAATCGAGGGTGTCAATAGCGATTAATGTGTGATCTCATGGCAAACAAAGGTGATGCTTATTTATATATATATATATAAAAAAACTCCTTATAAGGCTAAATAAATAAAATAAACAGATAAAGAAGGGAAAGGAGAAAAGGAGAAGGGGGTAACAAGCACAAGCGCCATGGCAACACAGAGAAAGAGGAAGAAGAGAGTTACCCATAAGTAGGCGCCGTTTCACCCGCTTGTCCACATCAGCTACTGACGTGGAATTGAACTCAGAGCTCTCAATTGCAGCCTCATCTCTCTCTAAAACACAAGTGACAGGGGACAAACAGTTGGTTAATGAGGAGCCCAATCTCCGCCTCCCGCCTGGGACCGGCTCCCTTTGGCGTTTGTGCGACCCAAGCCAAGAAGCAAGAAGCCATGAAGAAGTGCCAAAATCCCTGTTAGAGTGTTAATCCCATTGGTAAAAAAGAAAAACAAAACAAAAATCATCCCAGAACAGAAAAAAAGAAACAGTCTTTCGTGGAGTCATAAAAATAAGGGGAGAGGGTGGGGTTTTTGAGAAAAAAAAAAATGATTTTGAGGTGGGTGGGGGGACTTTGTTTTGTGTTTGTTGTGGTTTTGTTGATTTCGGTGGTCCGTGTCAAAATGGCCGTACTTCCAACAATGGCTCGGTCATGTCGAGAGAGGTGCGTGATGGGTAATCGTGCCCGAGACAAAGTGCGTGAGGGTTGGCATTGGGAGGGCAGGCAGCCGGATGACGACAGTGGAGGAGGGGGAGATGGAGGTGACGGAACGGGGGGGGGGGCAGCACAGACACATCGTCAGGAGAACCAAGCGTGTCGGAAACTCGACAGGTGCTAGAGCTGGAAAGGAAAACTCAGGGATGACACGATGGATAGAGGGAGGAGGAAGACGACGGCGTGTCACACCATGGGGGAAAGAAAAAGGAGTTAACAGCAGAAAGATGGGTGGAAGGTGGGGGGGAGCTTACGGATGAAAGTCAGAAGAGTACATGCAAACAGGGACAGTAGCCTGGAGCAGCGCTGGTTGCCTGCTTGTCTATGGAACACATCACAACTGGCTTTGACATTTGCTGCTGGAAACAGGTTTCCAAAGCATGACATGCAGATATGCAACATAGCAGTAGTGTTAGAGTGGTGATGAGTAATGGCCGACCAATCCCGAGAGGGAGCCTGGCATGGGGGAGGGCCAAAGCCCTGCTTGCTCTGATTGGAGTGTACCTCACGTGTGGAAGCCAGAGGGATTGTGGGTAATGCACCACATTTAGCCATCGGGTTTGAGAAAGTCCATGATGCACACGGGATGAGGTGCTGCCAGGGTCGCTAGAAAGGGGGTCTTGGGATGGGAAGGTCGTTGAAGCCTCCCAAAAGCAAGGGCTCCTCCCCCCCCTTTGCTTGGCCCTTTCCTAGGGGTTAGTCGGTTAAGGTGTGGCACACGAGGAGGTGAATTTGGAGGTGAATGGGGGCCGTTTATTGTGAGGGATTAAAAGTGCGTTTGAGGGCAAAAGGCTCAAAAGTTTTGAGAGGGTTGGGTTGGGGTGGGGGGGGTGGTGAGAGAGAATAGGGTCCAGGGATCTCCAAAAGGAGTGAATCAGCCGTTTAAATAGGCTGTCTTTAAAGGGGGCTGGCAGGGGAGGGGGAATAGCCAGCAAAAAGAACACAAATTAGACGAGAAGTAATTGATTCATAAGGGAAAAATTATACCACCATACTACTGCTACCGTAATACATGTAATAATTGTCGGAAATCCAAACAGGGGACCGGGGAGTCTGGGGTGGCAGTGGAGGGGTGTACTAAACAGGGAGTAAAACAGGGTAAAAAGAGAAGTGCTCCGGTGCAGCAAAATCGAGGCAGTAAATTAGTGTAAAGAGGAAAGCATGAAGGACAGGCAGAGGACACGCGGCGACATGGGGGAATGTTAGAGGCAGGGGCATGCAGCCTGTGCGTTCGGACAGAGGCTCGTGTTCGACATGCATACAGCTCATCCTTCTGCAGGCGGGAGGGAGGGAGGGGTCGGGGATTGGTTTCATTTTCGGAGGGGGGTGGTGGAGAAAAAGAGCATGAGGAAGTGTGGACAGATGAGATGGGCAGGCCAGCTTTGTTCTGTTTCCTTTAGTCGGTGACATCATGGTGTTTCTGGGTTGTACCATAACAGGGCTTTTTTTGTTGTTTGTTCAAAATGCTGGGGGGGGGCAATTTGGTTGCTCTCTATGACATTTTCAGGGTGAGATTTTTTCCCCCCTGATTGATTTGTTTGGGAGTTCTAGGTTCAATCAGGCTGCAATTGAGAAGTTTGTTCAATCTGTGTTTCCGTAGCTGCGCCTTTACGTTGGGTTTAGCTTCGATTCATTTTTCTTAGCGTCTTATTTTTTTTTTATTCCCTCTGTTTATTCTAACGTTGATGCTCAGACAAGACAGGCAATCAGTAGCTATCACCAGAGAGAAGGAGAAAAGGACAGAGAGCCTAAAGACAGCGGCACAGAGACGCAACGGAAAAGACCCAGAGAGCTGTCACGACACTCTGCTTACACACAGAGACACAGAAAGGTTCTCCTGTCTCAGGAGGTGCCTGAGGAGAGGCAGAGAGGCAGAGAGGCCTCCTCTTACTCTCCCATCTCCTATTAATGCTGTTTGAAGCTCCGCGGTGCTGCAAGGGAAAATGCCGTTAAAGGAAAAAAAAACAAACACGGCCCGCTTCATCAGCACTCTGACGACAGTGTCCCCCCGGGTTTGATAGTGCTGTGTCAGTCATACCCCACCAACCACCCCACCACTACCCTGCCCCCCCCTTTCAGTGCTTTAGCAACATCATGAAGGACATAAGCAACATTTTATTTCCCCTGGGATTCAAGAGGAGGAGGGAGAGGGTAACATTCTTGTGAAGACATCACTGTATGTGAGTGTGTGTGGGTTTTGTATGCATTACAAATGTCCCCACAATGTGAAACGAACCTGTAATTTTGACCTTGGGGGGCATTTTTTTTGGTCCCCACAAGGGAAAACTCAGGTTAATAAAAATCTGTGCAAACAAAAAACTAAAGATGCCAAAAGTCTTACTTATGGTTAAGGTTAGGGCTGCGTAGGGGTTTAGACTGTCATGGTTGTGATTAATGTTTTTCCCATAGAATGAAATGGACGGTCCCCACAAAGATATGAATACAAATATGTGTGTGTGTGTGTGTGTGTGTGTGAGTGAGAGAGAGAGAGAAATCATTCCAAAACAAAACCAGGTCATGTCAGATTAACAAAATTTAAACTGAGAAATAAAACCTCTCTCGTCATGCAAGTCAATGTTGATTGTTTATATATAAGCTAATTACCTTGTATTATACAAAAACCCGACAAAGCTGCATGAATAACAATAAAGTAACGAAACTTGAATTTGAAATTGGAATTTCGAGGTGTGACTCCAATGGCTTCGTCAGTGTCTAATCTTCTCCTCACCCCTCAGACCCCGAGCTGGAGCAGGGCTTTGACCAGCCATGGTGGAATTCCAAACTGTCACTCCAAAAGTGACACACAAGGGACTTTCTCTGGTGAACTGATAGCATCTTTACCATGAAAACACCATAAAGTAGTGCCCAGAGGCACACATAACCAGAAAAGTGCTTAAGCATGATATAAAAGTTGCAAAAAAAATAAAATAAATAATAATATTAATAATAATAAAATTTAAAAAGTTAAAAAAAACATTTGAGCTGGAAATTATTTTACATCCATATTTTAAGCCCCAAATAGAAGCTGGAAGGACGTAATTCAGCCAATCAGCATGTGTCTTTTATGAAGGACAGATGTTAGCCAATCCGTGTGTATCTTTTATGAAGGACAGACATCAGCCAATCAGCGAATGCCTCTTATGAAGGACAAACAGCCAGTCAGCGTGTGCCTTTTATGAATGAAACTGTGGTGTGTTTCAAAGTGACGTCCAGCACACCCAGGAACACAGACGCCCAGTTCTGGGTCCCTGGCAGACAGTGCAGTGCGGTGTGGTCTGTGGAAAGTGGCCCCAAAAAAAATGAGACTTACCTGAAGGTGTCCATGAGTCCTCCACAAATTTAAAAACCCGACACGGCTCTCCGTTTTGATGCTCTGAGCGAGTCCCACGTATCAGGGGCTGCTTCCCTGACTTGGCTGACTCCCCCGTGTGATGGGGCTGATTAATGTGTTTTTCAGAAGCTGAGGTGTTGTTATTAATTTATTGCTCGACCACCGAATAAACTCCAGCGTACAGACGTCAGCACATTAAAAAAAAAAAAACGTGATTAAAGGCTTCGGAGGAACGGCTGGAATCCGATGGGCACCGAAGGGACAGGCGGGCTTCTGATATGAGCCACGGGTGGGGGTGAAGTAGCCCCAGACAGCCTGGGGTGGGCCAGGGTGCCCGTCGCTTCCAACAGGCTGCCTGGAAGAGCGATAGCTGGCCTTGTGGTCAGGGGGGGAGGAAGAAAAAAAAACAGGGGCCCTTTCCAGCTGAGTCCCTGAGTGACGCCCGCCACTGTTCCAGAACATTCTTTTTTTCAGTGCCTCCCCCTGCACCTCTCTTTATGTAATAAACAACTGATTTCAGCGTGGACGCCTCTCTGACCCATCGCACTATATCTTTAAGAAGTCCTGGGAATCGGAGACGCTCTCTAGTCACTCACTCTCCCTCCCCCTTGTTGTAACTGTTTAAATTACTGGAGGCCTGGACTGGGGGGGAAACATGGGGGGTGGATTGGTGGGGGGGTGACTTCTCAGCACATTCACTTCCTACGTTCGCATTTTTCTCCCCTACGCTCCATGGAGGCTGATCATACATATAATTATTTTAATTTGCCTTTTCACTGCACGTCACTGCCTGTTGGGAAGAGAAGGTGACATGCAGATGACGCCTTTCTGAAATTCTGCCCTCGTGACATCACCACTTAGTGGAAGTCCCAGGCAGGTGGACCTGACTGGGGGTGGGGGGGGAGGGGACACATATCGAAGGCATGGCTGCTGTGAATCGGGACAAGGGTGCAAGGTCTGCGAAGTTTATGCAGAGTTTTATGGAATAATACCTGTGTTGTGTTTTGGGGGCCCTGGTGCAGGTGTGAGCACGCTTGAGTGTGGCTGAAGAAATCCTGCGACTGTGTAATTGCCGTGGGAAGCAGGGCCGTGGAGAAGGTGTAGCCATGGCGACAGGGCTCCGGAGGCGCGATTCTGCTCCCTGTAAGACCCCCACGCAGCCCTCGCCCCCCGCCCGAGGAGTGGCAGCACTCACCGATGCAGGTTCTGCTGTCTGAGTGAAGCGCATACTTCTGGTGGCAGCCGCACACGGGCCCCGCGTCCGTGTCGTCGCAGTTGTGCTGGCACCCTCCGTTTCCATAGTTACAAGTCACTGGTGACACACACATACGAACACACGGGTCGAGAGGTGAAGAGACACATCCACGGTCTGTCGTCACACGCTGGAGCTGAGCCATGCGAGCCACGGCCCCAGGCTGACATTTAAAGGGGTTAAATCCTGAGCCAAGCTAGGAGGTTCTCGCTCCCTCCGCCATATAGGGGCGCGTTCACACCGCAGGAACTATTTCTGGAACCAGAACCTTTTCCCAGAAGCAGGAACTTTTGTTGTGTTAACACTGCTCGGTACTTTTCGTTCAAACACAAACTACGGGGGAGGAGCTTACAGCAATAAACTTGCTGATTGGCTGATCAGAAGCACGGGCACCAACATGGAAGTAGCCGGGTACAGTTGGCAGATCATTTCTGTTTAATTACATAAAAATGTATCAATTAATATATATTTTTTGCTTGTGTCTCTTTATATTTGCATCAGAAAATCTGATCTCTAACCAATATGCTTTTGATATTGTTTTTTTATTCTGCAGAAAGATCAATCTGCTGGCCAGATTTAATAAGAATCATGAACGTATCTCGGGTCGTATAAGTAAAATATAAATAAAAGGCTGTGTCCCATTTTGATCATGATCGATCCTCCCAGTAACTAACAAAACAGTTTTCTGATCCTCCATCATTTTGGCATGGGGGTGCAGTTTCATATGAATTATGTGTAAAGTTCAACCTACGAGTTTTTTGTGTCTCCCATGCTTATTTAACATAAAGGTTCCAGTTCCTGTTGTGCGGCGTGAAAGTGACACACAGAAGTGGGCAGGAGCTACTAAAGTCCCTTGCCCAGATATCCCAGGGACTTGTTACCAGGGACCAGGATCCAGAACTTCAGGGTGGAAGCGCCGTAAAGGAGCGCCCTGCTAAGCGACAGGTTCTGAGATTACTCCCAAGACATCCTCGGTGGCCCCAGATCTGTCTACAAGACCGCTGGCCTGGCAGAGGGGCGTGGATAGGGGCTGGCGTCCCTGGAACCAGCCCCTCTACCGGAGCGACAGGATGCTACAGACCAGGGTACGATCCCGGCCACATTAATGAGGGCCCTTGAGGGAATGCAGATTCTCAGCTGATTGGCTCGTAAATGCACTGGCTGGATTTATACGATGAATGATTCACTTGTGGTGCACTACTGGCGTTTCCTCACACGTAACAAGAACCTTCTAGAACGGGAAAGAAACAACATCGAAGGCCCCTTCATTTCAGACATTAGGTTCTGCCAAACAAGGTGGAGCTAATGAAACATGGACTTTCCCGCCAATAATTACTGGTACTGGGATTATGCTGCTTAAAACATCCGATAATGCGTGAGGTCATTTTTCTCCTGGACAAACAATTGATTTAAGCAAATCTTTACCTCGTACAAACATCACTTCGCAGGATGTCCATGTCCCTAAGGAATCATATTTAGGCCCCCTGTGAAAATGACCATTTAAAGTTGAATCGCTTTAGTCTTCTTGAACAGACAATCAGCTTACCTATTGGCTACCAAGTGGCATTCTCTGCCCTTCCGGAAACATCTATAACACAACCTGGGGGGGGGGGGGTCTACCCATTTCACAGGACACAGTCATGCACTAGAATGCTGTGAGCTGCCACATTCTATAGCACAGTGATATTTGCGGCCCTTTAGAGCCATTCTGAAGTCATGTGACAGTTATGCGTGGCTGAGCTGGGTCTGAATCTGTGTGTATGTATCCTGTACATACCCCAGGTTGTAACGATACACAGGAATACAGTGCAAATCAAAGTTATATATAGCTATAAATATGAGGAACATGCTCTCCTATAACAGGAATACAGTTTAAGAAGTTCCTTTCACCCCAGTTCCGGTATCATCCACAACACGGGAGGGATCATGCCGCACCCCCAAGCAGCCGGCAGCATCATCAGATCATGCCCCGCCCCCAACCAACCACTCGACCCTGCCCCCCAGCATGTCAGCTACGTACATATGCAGTCCCTCTGGTTCTTGGCCAGCTCGAACCCAGGCCTGCACTCGCACGCCGGGCCCCCCTTGGGCGTCTCCCTGCAGATGTGGGCACAGCCGTGGTCCTTGTTCATGCAGTTCATCCCATCTGCGCAGCCAGAGAGAGAGGGAGAGCGGAAGAAGAGAGGGAGAAAGGACAGAGGGGAAAAGTCAGACAGGAGAAAAGGGTATTACACTGTCAGAACACAGAGAGACATAAAAGTACAGGCCCCCCAGAGACAAGAGAAATCTCTTAACCCGAGTTAAGGGGTTGACATTCCAGATGCCATAACCAGGAATATCGTACGACAGAATGGGACACCGACCGGTTAGATAAACACCATGATAGGATCTTATGGGTAAACTTGCCATAAACACGGTAACGTTATTATGGGCACAAGAGAGGAGAAGCCTGGCAGGTCGCCCAGCAGGCGAACACAGCAAAGCATCATGGGACGGCGGCGGTTTAAAAAGCATCCTAATTTACAGCAAAGGCGGGCGAACTCCTTGGATCCTTTATTACAAATCCACTTCAGACTTTGTCCTTGGGAGTAATGTGGGATTTTTATGAGCACGTAAATTAGTTTTACGTTCCTGCTGACCCCCCACCAAAGTCCAGACACCCCCCCGTCACCCCAGGAGTAGCAGGACGGGGGATTTAGGTTGGCCCATTGAACATAAAGCACTGCTGTCCTACTATGTGTGAAATTCAAACAGCATAGCGGAGACACCAGCTTCCCTCTTCGTTTCTGCTGCCAAACACTCTTCAGATCCCAGAAAAGGCAAAGAAGATAAAAAGGAAACAAAGCACTTGATGGAGGTCACAGGGTCAAACCCATGCCAGGGATTCTGGGAAAGGCTGATTATAACCTTAATGTGGCTTCATCATTGTAGGTGCTGTTTCACTTACCTGTAAAACATGCAGGAATATCAGGACAGGAAAAAGACCCTGATTAGATTATTGCTTGAAACATATTGACAACTTCAGTAGGTTAATGTTAAAAACATGAAATTACCTCAATAATATCAATATGTGCCAGAAGGAAATTAATAAATATTAGCACATTAATAATGAAAAAATATTTTAAATGTAAAAATTATTAAAGAAAATGAATGACTAATTTTAATTTTAACTTCTAGGATATTGACGGAACGAGTTGTTAACACCTGACATACGCAGGTCGGATGAGCAGCATGGATATTCAAAGCTTCTTTGTCTTTTAAAGACTGAGCTGTATGTCAGCATTTGGGGTTTGGGATCCATGTTAAAGTTTTAGGGTTCGAGAGGGTGTGCATTGAGGATATGGTGGTGGGGAACCATCCCTGCGTTTCTTGTCAGCGACGATGTGGCCGGTCAGCACTCACCACGTGTTTCGTGGGGGCCGCCCGGGAGTCCACATTCCCATCATAATTGAATGCGGCCACTTTCACACACTCTGCCATCCTGTCGCAGGTTAGCAGAGGTCAGTGCGACCTCATGGTGAAAATGTATCCCAGGGTCGGTCCTGCCAGCTTCGATCGACCTGCGTTAATTTACTGGGCTGTGTTGAGCCTTTCCATCCAGCGTGGCGCGACCCAAGCCCCCACCCCCCCACCATCATCACCTCCAACCCCAAACACAACATGGTCTTCTGAGGTGGGTCCGAGGGCAGCTAAGATTTATGTGGGAGGCACATGTGCAAATAACATTGATATTCCTGCACTTAAATCATTAAAATGAAAAAAAAAAAAAGTAGGAGGTAGGACGATGGGCCAGAACCATGGACCCGTAATTCAATGGGCTGTACGGGGGATGAGGGACGAAGCCCAGTTTAGGCAAGCCAAAGACATCACTGCTGTTCAGAAGGTTTGGAACATTTAATGAACTCTTAAGTGCCGTTAACAATCGAAAAAAGGTTCAGAAGAATTTCCTTAGATGTTGTTCAGGAAAGACACCAGCAGCCAAAACACAACCTGGCAGAGAGGATCATGGGATAGAGATGCGTCTGGGTGGCAGAAAACCGCTGGCACCTACTAACTGCTCTGCGGCATTTGCCGCAAAAACCGAATTTATGATTGACTTTTAATCTTCTATCATCTGCATTTTACACCTCAGATAAGTTTACACACTATGGCACTCTCCAAAGTTATAAATCAACCCGAGTTGTGAATCTGGCAAGAGCAGGAGATTCTTTTCAAGAATGCCGTACGGGACGGCGCAGGGTCGCGACTTTAGCGCAAGAAGGAACCCCTGTACATGCATTTGTCTGACAGCTTGAGAAGCCGGCATGGCGAGGCCTCTTAATTAGCTGATTGACAAAGTTGGGGTGACATTGCTCTCTGAATATTTACTCCAAGCAAATACAAGTGGAGCCTAGCTGAAATCCAGTGCTCTCTAGGACCAGGAACCAGCTACACTGCCATGGCTCGTCCGATCAGACTTAAAACCCAGGAGGACGGACATTTGGGTCACCTTGCCTAGAACCAGAAAGACGACATTTTGCCAGGATGGCCTCTTGGATGTGGTATGAGACCAAGCAGGAGTCCACAGTAAACCTCGAGAAAGACAGCCCAGGATTACAGATTACAGGTAGCTGTGAGTCTACATGATGCTGCCGTAAATAAGGAGAAAAAGAAACTAAGTATCTCCCTGTAAACACCTAAGCATTCTAGGATGAGTAAAAAGGAGGGTTTGGGAAGGAGGCCATGGGTACAGCTGCAAAGGGCTCAGAATCTGAGCATCTCCTTCGACTACAACAATGCCCACATAATGCATTCTTCCGTCAATGAATGTCCCCATGGCAACGCCATCAATAACATCATTTTCCGCATCCTCATCCCCTCGAACCACTTGAGGAGCACAGACTGGCCTTCATTGGGAGTGAATATGCAGGGGGGAGGGGGCGGCGGGGGGGAACAAGAGATGTTTCTTCACAGACAGTGGCGAGAATGCCCTTGTTGTGCCTCATTAAGAAACAGTAATCCGGTGGAAGGCCCGGCTAGAGGGTCCAGCAAGGCCTATTAGTGATAAAGAGTCTCCCCCCCCGCCAGCCCCCACCTAATGTCCTGGGGAATAATTACAACAAAGCATGAAGGACAGAAGCAGAACTTCAACAAGGTCTTTGATGATGGAGCATCCATTTAGGCAGTCGCTGCTGCCTTTCAGGGTCTTTGGAGGAGCAATGTCATCATTTGAAGGAATGTGACAGGGAGACATCATGGCCAAACCTCCCCCCCCCCCAGGAGCTGGAAGGTGACCTCTGAAACCTCCACAACTTCCAATCCACACTTGAAATGAGTAAAAAAAAAAAAAAATGACAGAAAGAAGCATGAAATACTTGGCCTGCTGAAGTGTCCAAAATTAGCTCCCCTCCCCCACTAAATTTAAGAAGGGCTCCCTAATTTTCAAAGACATGGGACTCACTGGGCCAACACCAAAGTAGGATGCTCGTCTGATGTGACCAGTGCGACAACATTTCCAAAAACAGCAGCTGTACAGATTACAGACGGGAGAGAAAATGTCACAGTACTTTAATGTCAACATCGTCCTACATGCCTCCAGCCTTGTGGCTTGTATGGCAGATGTTTGCCGAAAGCCTATGACAGAGAAACACGCAGAGAGGTAATTCAGGCGGGGACACCTAGAAGTCTGGCCAGGGAAACCCTAACCCTAACCCTAAACCTAACCCTAAGGCTCATTGCCTCAGCTTCCCTTTCGACTAAAGATGTAAGTCGTTTAAAGCTACTAAATCATTGAGTCTAAATAAGGCCAAGTCGCGGCCAAGCATATCACCAGAGTGTTGTTCTTGCCTGCCTTTCAAAGCGCGCTGAATCAAGTTAATGCCGTGCGAAAAGGCAGGGAAATACTTTCAGTCCCTCTCACCTGTTTTGGCTCAACGATGAAGTGATAATCATATTGTTGGGTAGACCAGCAAGCGGGCTCTGTTGTGGTAAGGGATTTGGGCGGGGGGGAGGGGGGCAACTGGGGGCTCTCAAAGGCATAAAAGGCCCGAAGAGCCTTGCAAAGCAGCGCCCAAATGCTAAACTCACGTTTGTTCAAGGTGAAGATGAGCATCGATTAGAGTGGACAGTGGAGAATCAAAGCCCTAGATGGACTTGAACCCAGTCATCAGTCAATCAGCTCACAGGTTGTTCGGGTTTCATATTTGAAGAGCAACGCTCAAATCCCTGAGAGAGAGATTTTAAACACAAGGAGGCTAGGGGGCAGCAGAGAGCTGCGTTGATGGATGTGACAGTCACACTGAAGAATCAGACGAAGTGCAGGCCTGCCTGGAAACTCTGGCAGATATACTGCTTGCAGTTTTGCCACAAGATGGGTCGGGTGGGGGTGGGGGTGCGTGGCACATTGGCACTTGGCCGCCCAGCCAGGACACCATTGTAGAGCGCCCCCCGTAGCCTGTAATCCTTTTACGATAAGGAGGGATAATCCCGTCACGCACAAAAGGCCAACAGGAAGCCCTCCAGATGGGGAAGTATCCCTGCTCCTGTCATGGGGAACCACATTTAGAGACATGGGTGATTAACTGGGCCACGAACCGGCCCGCTGTCCTTAGGGCAGGAAATAAGATAAGATGGCAGGAGCAGTACCGGGAAAAGAAACTGTAACCTTGCTTCCACACAGCAGAAGCAAACTGGGATTTAGTCCCTCTGAACCTATCCCAATCCCAGATCGTAAATGGCCCACAACCGTAAGGGCATCATGTTACGTATCCCTCTCTGACCCTCCAAATCTTAAACTGGATCAGCACAACCAAATCGTGTGAGCTGAGCATGCAGCTAGTGATGACACACATCATACCTGCTGCGATGCCACAAAGGATTATGGGTAGGATTCTTAACAATCGATCTAATACTGGTAATTGAACATCTTATAGATCGCAACAACTAACAGTCACGCCGCCAGTGTGTTTTCCTGACAATCTCTTGTGCCTCCAAAGTTCAATAACCATGTGTGTAAAAATACAGTCGATTTCATACACATCTGTGATGACCACGCTCTATAAGTGCGCTCAAGTGACCTATGTATGTACGACACGGCACCTCATTTTTCATGCTTGGTGTTCAACCAAATAAATCTTCTGCCGTCCCATTAGTCCAGAGTGGAGCCGA